TTCTCACATCAAATATTATATAAATTTCTTTTAGATAGTGTATATCAATACAATAAAGGATTCCAAACTTCTTTCAATATAATAATTTAATGTGTTTGTTTCATGATTTTCGATAAGAATTTTAAAAGAAAAATGAAAAAATGTGTGAAATTAGATAAAATATAGTAATATTTCATTCACATTTTTTTAATATATAAATTATGTTTTTTAAGATTTTTTATAAAAATAATTTAACAATCTTATCACTAACCATAGTACATGAGAGAAGTTGAAAATAGTACTACAATAACTATATACGGATTGTATCTATAATTATTTGTATGAGGGGATTTTAAATACTAATCAGGAAATTTTGACCAAATCAATAAATGCAGGCATGTGGAAAGACATGTGGATTGAAAAAAAAGTTAATAAATGCTGATAAGGGAATTTTAACCAAATCAATAAATGCTGAGTTTTTTTTTAAATAAAAAATTTAGAAAATTCAGATTGGGATATTGAAGCTCCAATAGGCCTTGGGGGTTAAAAACCACCTTTTGCTTAATATATAGTATAGATAAAAATTTCGAACTATCGCTGAAACAATTAGTGACATTTTTTAAAAAACACAGTGAGTTAAAAAAATCAATTACAATTTTTTTTTCAAAATACAATCTAATCATTATTAATAATTGGTACTTTAAAAATCAAATCAGAAAAAAATCAAATCAAATCACAAATATTTTTATGCTATCTAACTACAATCATATTTTTTTCATAAATAATTGTAAAAGAAAAACCATTAAAACAGTAAATAAAATATTAAATCACATTAAAAAAAAGAACCATTGAACAAACTACAATCACATCACATTTTTTCCATAATAAAAAAAAATAAAGGGTAAATTACACTAACACATGCTGAGGTTTATGTTTATTATAGTTTTCTCCATCACATTTGGGAAATTACACTAACCCCCTGTTAATCTAATTTTATGTATGATGATCATTATGGTGAGGGGAGGAACTGTTATAAAACTTTAAACCTCAGTGGGCAATCTGTAATTAAACTTTAAACCTCAGAGAGAGGGATGTAATTTTCAAAAGGTGAGGAGGGAACTGTAATAAATATAAACCTCAAGGAGTGTCAATATAATTTACCCAAAAATGAATAAATGAAAAAAAGAACCATTGAATAACTACAATCACATTAAAAAAAAAAAAAAAAGAACTATCGAACTAACTACAATCACATTTTTTTCTTTGTGAGTGCTTATGTTTATCTAACTTCAATCATATTAAAAATAAAAATAAAATAGTAAATAAAAAGATTAAATAACATTAAAAAAAAATTTGAACTAACTACAACAATCATATTAAAAAAGAGAGTCATTGAACAAACTACAATCACATCACATTTTTCACATAATAAAATAAATAAATGAAAAAAAAGAACTATTAAACTAACTACAATCACATTAAAAAAAAAAAAGAGAATCATTCAACTAATTATAATCAAAAAATTATGATAATTATAATTAAATTTTTCTCTTTGTGAGGGTTTATATTTATCTAACTTCAATCATATTAAAAAATCAAAAATAAAATTAAAATAGTAAATAAAAAGATTAAATAACATTAAAAAAATAATTTAACTAATTACAACAATCATATTAAAAAAAAAAAAGCCATTGAACAAACTACAATCACATCACATTTTTCACATAATAAAATAAATAAATGAAAAAAAAGAACTATTAAACTAACTACAATCACATTTAAATAAAAAAAGAATTATTCAACTAATTATAATCAAAAAATTGTAATTTGATTTTTTAACTAACTTCAATCACAAATATTTTTATGCGCTATCTAACTACAATATTAAAACAGTAAACAAAAGGAAAAGTCAAGAAGGAGAAAACAAAAAGAAAACTTACTGTTTGCATACGTGGTCACTGAAGTTGAAAGTGTAGAAGTGAGAAGTCCAGAAGGAGAGAACAAAAAGGAGACATACTGTTTGCAATAAGTATGTGAAAAGTTTAAAAAAATGTGTGTATTGGAAAAGTTAAAAAAACTTGGAAGAATTTAATAAGTGCTAAGTTTTTTTTTTCAAAAAAAAATCAAAAAAATTAAGAAATTAAGGTTCAAATATTGGAACTCCCACAAAACTTGTAGATTAGAGATAGATATAAATAAATAGATAGATATAGATATAGATATAGATTTTTATATTTGTTTCAAAAAATTTTTAATATGCAAATTATTTGTTTTGGAAAAGGTACTGCAGTAATTATGAGAGAAGTCAAAAAGTCTTATGGGTTAAGCCAAGTTAATAAATGCTGAGGTTAATTTTTTTTAAAAAAAACAAAAAATTAGAAAATTAGGATTGACATATTGAAGCTTCCATAAGTCTTGGGGGTTAAAAACCCCCTTTTGTTTAATATATAGTATAGATAAATATGTAGATTGTTTTATTGATTGGTACATCATTATATTGGTACATCAATGACTTATTTATGAAAGTTCTAAAAACAATTTGAGGGTGTAGGAGTTGAGTTTCTTTTCAAATTTGGTTTTGAATGCTTAAAGCGATGACAAAATAGGAATGGTGCAATGGCCGATGGAGATGGGTGCACTACACATTTGAGCAGCCTATTACCTTGCCAAAAACAATGTGAAATAATAAAAGTAGCCCTCCCTGTCCATTTGTGTGCTTCATTTGTAGATATTGTTTTTCATTTCACACTATTTTCTCTTCTTTGAATTTTGCTCGACTGTCGTTGATCATATTAAGGTTGTTTTTGAACGATAAATTTATGACCAAAAAAAAAAAAAAGAAAAGAAAAGAAAAGGAGAAATGACATGTTAAATTTTTCTATATTGGGCCTAAATAATTTAGTGGGCTTAAATTAGCTCCTCTTACACATTTCACACTGTTTTCTCTTCTTTGAATTTTGCTCGACTGTCGTTGATCATATTAAGGTTGTTTTTGAATGATAAATTTATGACCAAAAAAAAGAAAAGAAAAGGAGAAACGACATGTTAAATTTTTATACATTTTTTCTATGCTTTTTTTTTTTTTTTTTCACAAATTCAAGATCAAGTGTAATCTTAACACTTTTACAAAGAAGAGTTGATAGACATTAAGGTGAAAGTGTTAATATGATCAAGAACTAGTTTGATCATGTGGCCTCAATGTAATCACTAGTTTAACTTACGAAAAAAATATGAAATAAGTTAGATCTATTGTATATATAATTGTTCTTTCGATTATAATGCGACAAAATAATCATATATCTCCGTTATTAGATAAATAGGACAAACCTACCAAATAAATCATTCTAACTGTAAATCTTCTCTTCATCCCCTCTCTATCTCACAAAATAATTTATATTATTTAAATTCAATTTAAATAATACATATCAAATATTCTATTGTGACTTAAAATATTTTTCCCTTCATACACACAAATAAATACGCCACTACACATTCTAGTGCATGTATATATATAAAAATACTAAATCATTCAATGAAAGGTAAGGGGTACAACAATGACAATGACCGGTGGGGGAACCCTATCAAAGATAGTGGTGGGAGGGAGTAGGGGACCTTTGTGCTGGTTGGTCTTACGAACAAATTCCATTAGGAGACAAATGCAAGTAATAATCACAACAACAATGAGTTGAAAAAACAACAAAATACATCAAATTCCTCTCAAGCAATCTCACCATCTCGTTATCCCCTTGATCTCAGCCCAAAACACATGGCTTGCTCCTTAAAATTATCACTTCCTATTCAACATTATTTTGGCAGTCATGTTACATACGCAATACAATTGCTTTAAAAAATTATGTAAATTTTGAAATATATAAATTTATTATGAGTGACTCACACTATATTAAATTTAAATTTACATCATAAAATTAAATTTTAAATGCTTAATTTTTTGAATATTTTTGTTCATTAGTAGTTAAGAATTGGACATTATTTTAGCAGTCATGTTACATGCCCAATACAATTGCTTTAAAAAATTATGTAAAATTTGAAATACGTAAATTTATTATGAATGACTCACACTATATTAAATTTAAATTCACGTCAAAAAATTAAATTTTAAATGCTTAATTTTTTGAATATTTTTGTTTATTAGTAGTTAAGAATTGGACGGTCCAGATCGGAACCGTAGGCCCACCATACCCCCCACTTTAATAATTTGATTAGTTAACTTTTTAAGTTCTTAAGCATATACATCATTTATTAAAAGTCAGATTAATTCAATAATTGTAATCACATAGCTTAATCTATTTGTTTTTATAAGAAAAATGTACTTTCTCTTTTTAAAATTATATTTACCATATAAAAAAAAGATAAATATAATAAATTTATGTGATTATATTTAGCAAGCCAAATTATTATTATTATTTTTTATTTTTCATTTTTTATAAATAATCTAGGGTAAATTACATCAATAGCCCCTATATTTTATTCCTGGTATCATTTTGGTCCATATACTTTCAATTGACTTGATTTTAACCATTAATTTTAGATTTTGCATCAATTTGGTCCAATTGATAATATTATTAGTATTTTTTAAGAAAAAATATTACTAAATTGGTTGAGATTAATTCACTAAGTTGGGTAAATTCATAATTTTGCTTTTTAAAATATGGCACATGACACTTATGTTGCATATTTTTCATAAATAAATACAAAAAGTTGTAACCAATTTGACCAAATAACAAAGTCATAAATTCATAGTAAAAAACAACTCAATTAAAATTATAAGAATTAAAATAGCACAACTACTGAAAATACCTCATAATTTGCACAATTACCTATATTCAACTAAAGACAAGTCTAGTCCTTATTTTAATGGGTAATTATAAGAATATCAAATTTTTTATTAAATAAATTATCAAATGTCTTACGTGGGTATGTGATCTGCAATTTAATAGAAAATTTAAGACGTATAACATTTTTCTATTTTAATAGCCTTCATCTTGTGAAAGCTCATGATTCCAAATAATAATTAGCCTCCACACATTATATATTTTGTGCCCGAACCATACAACACTTACCCACCAAAGTTCAATACTCCAAGCCATGGAACCCCAAAAGAAAGGAATCATGTATGTTTTCAAGCTACCCACTGGAAATCCAAAGCCGGAGGCCGACCAACCGGTGGTGACAAAGAAGGCGGTGTCATGGGGTTATTGGGGGCTTAGAAAATCAAAAAATTACCGGGAAAATGAGCATGGTGGTGGTGGCCAGAGGGCAGTAGAAGGTGGAAGAGAGATCGTTGAGGGAAGAAAATCAGTGTCCATTGAGGCAAGAAAATCGGTGTCCATTGAGGCAAGGAAATCAGTGTCCATTGGGGCAAGAAAATCGGTGTCCATTGAGGCAAGGAAATCAGTGTCACACGTAGAAACGACCAATGTGGCGGCGGCCGCAGCGTTTCTACAGGTTAAGGTTCTTGTGACTGACATGCCGGGGTTCATGCAGGTGCAAGCTTTCAGATGTGCAAGGAGAACATATGATAGTTTAGAGAAGTTCAGCTCTAAGCACATGGCTTACAACATGAAAAAGGTAAAGTTTTATTTTATTTTATTTTATTTATTTATTTATTTTGATCAGCAAAACAAAGTTTTATTGGTGAAAAAAACATAATACATGTAAAATTTACATCAACAAAGTAAGGAAATGCACAGAGTATTATAACTAACCTTATAACCAGGGTTGAAATTAGAAGAAGACTATGAGGAGCCATAGCCCTTCTGTTTCTGTAAATATTATTGTTTGTCATAAATTTTTTTTTTTTAAAAAAAACCATTTTATATATAAAATGACCCATAATATAAAAATTATATATGTCATTATTTTTCCATCTTGAATTATCTTTTTATTTTACATTAAAAAAAAATTTATTCATCCTATTTGAAATTACTTCTATGGTATTTTAAATTTCTTTTTATGTATATATAATTTATGTATCATATATATATATATACATGTGTGTTTTATGTTTTGTGTATATGGTGAAAAAAAATGATTTTTATTTTGGCCCTCTCCGATAATGAAATTTTAATTCCATCACCGCTTATAACACGATCTACCGAATTTTAAATTTTTATACCCTATATGGCCCGATACCTTCTCATATCAAATATATAACCGTATAATTGATACTGAGCTCCCTATGTTTTTCTGCGTTCTTCATTTATAATCTTTGTTGATCTTGTTTGGGAATTCATAAGATTCATAGAATAATGTGACCCAACCATTTTTATAATTTTAAGTCACATTGATTAGTGTTCGATTTGTATAGATTTTTTGTGTGAAAACTATGTTCTTTTAACATTACTTTTCTATATATAGCTTAAAAATGAACCTAAAAAGGGCAGAAAAAAGAAAAGAAAAGAAAAGAAAAGAAAAGATAGAGAAGTTTCGTAAATGAATTAAGCTTTTGTTGGGATTGTTGGTAGAAGTGGGCAGAAAAAGAGTCTGTGATACAATTATTTCCTTGCCTTTTTTTCTTTTTGGATTTTCCTTCTTCAATGATTGAATTTTGTTCAAGAGACTCAGAAGATAGTAGGAGACAAAAGGTAATAGTTAGAAAGTCCATACCAGCTTTGAATTTTTTATTTATGGGACTCCCATTAGATCTCTCTCTCTCTCTCTCTTTCTCTCTCTCTCTCCTGGTTCTGAATGGCGCACATGGAAATGTTGGGGACCATTGGAATCTGAACAACACATGTCCCAGACAGAAGATCTATATACAAAATGATCCATTAGTGCCCATATAATCTTAAATGAATTCTTTATTAATTTAGACACATATTATAATTTATTGCAGCCTTGCAGGTTGAATAACATGGTTAGGTTCAATGGAGTGATAAGGGTAGTGAACATACCATGTGTAGCACATAGCAACAACACACTAATTGCAATATTAATCTTTCAGGTAATCATACTTTGATTGTCAATAATGATCTTCTCTTTCTAATCTAGGCCCATGTGTTTACAAAAATAATTGGATAATCATATTAATAATAGGATTAACATTCTCCTATTTCATTGAGTCTAGGACTATAAAAACAGCAAAACCAATCTGACCTGGGCATGAACTTGAAATCAAAATTATGTTTTCAATTCTCTCCACAACTTTAATTTGTTTAATAGGTATGACCTATTAAGCTGTGGTATGTTATTCTAATAAGGGAACAATACAAGATTAGTGTAATTTTTAAAAAAAAAAAAAAAATTTATTGGCGTAAGTCAGTTGTTAGTTATTAGATTACTACCTATAAGAGTTAGCCTTTTCACCTTTGTAAAATACCAAGTGCTTGTCTCCTAATTCAACTCCCCTTTAAGGAGAGTTGAACCTATAATCTCCCCGTTATAACTAAGCCTTTAGATTAGTCATGATTGCCAAATAGGTTATGCCTAGTTGGTTGAATACATGATCACTTAGTCCCTACATTTTTTTTTTTTTTTTTCCGTTTGTGTCATTTTAGTCTTTACAATTTCAATTGACTTAATTATGACTGTTAATTTTAGATTTTGTATTAATTTGATTGAATTAGTGACGTTGTTAGGGCTTTTGTCAAAAAAATTTCCTTGAATTGGTTGAAATTAAGTCACTGAATTGATCAAGTTTATAATTTTACTCTTATAAGTGTGACACATGCTACTCATGTGCGCATTTGTGATAAAAACTACTAGCAATTGGAATCAATTGCACTGATTTGAAATAAGAAAAAAATTCATGATCAAAATTGATCCAATTGAAATTACATGACCAAAATCACACAAGAGTCGAAGTATAGAAACTACGAATATAATTTGTCTATCTTATTATTATGGACACTGACTCACCAGATAATTTTGCAAATAGAGCTGAGAAATTCCAGGGGAAGGAAGATTGGTAGATCTATAAAATTGTAGGGAGGGTGCTCACTATTTTTATTTTTATTTTTTTGTTATGACTTGTTTGTTTGCAAAATGCAAAAGGATTATTAGTTTATGGTCGAAAATAATTCTCTCATTTTTATTCCATACTACATATATAGACAATATACCAAAAAATAAAAAATAAAAAAAATTATAATTCAAATTCAATCAAGATGTGAGCTCCACCATATATAAGTTGAATATCAACCGCATACTAATTTTTTAGATATGTTTCCGTACATGAACAGATAAATTTATACATATCTCTATGCATATAATTTCTTGTTTTTGTTTTTATATTTGTATGAAGGGTTTGTTAACAAATCTCTTTGTGTAGGAATTTGACAAGGTGTATGGGCCAGCATGGCACTGCATTGTGGGCTCAAGTTTTGGTTCCTTTGTGACCCATTCCACAGGGTGCTTTCTTTATTTTTCAATGGAGAAACTTTACATTTTAATATTTAAAACAAAAGTTCAAAGAGCTTTGGATTGAGTAAAACAATAGTCTTTTAATTTGAACGGTTCCACCACTGTAAAAGATATTATTATTTTTCAAATTTGATATTTATCATTTCCATTTCCTTTCTTCTTTTTACTGGTTAATTATCTGTTTTCCAAGCTTGTAAATGTAATTGAAAAGCACATCAAAGTATTTATAAGAAGGAGTTTTCTTATAAGAATTACTATTTTTTCTGTTTTTTTTTTTTTCTTTTTTTCTTTTTGTAGTGTCTGCCTTTTATTTTTTCTTACTTGCATTTGGTACTTTGATTATTTATCTCTTGGATTATTTAAATGCATGATAAGATCCATATTGGGCATAGTTTTATATTTAAGTTGCATCACAATAGATAAAAATAAATGAAAATGACATTTGAAAAAATATGGAATGAAATTATAAATAGGCCAATAAATAAGAAAAAGAAAAATGATGAAAACTTTGGAGAGAAAATATTTAAATAGTGGGTGCTATGGAAAATAACCTCCCATATGACCACTAGTATCAATATTAGAAATCTTCGTCATGGACCATTAGTCTCAAACAGTTTTAAACCTGCAGCCTCTACTAGCGAATGGGCAAATGCTATGACTTTACTTCATCTACTTTTTCTCTCTGTAAAGCCTCGAAGATGAGGAAACACCAAAAAGTTCAAAGTGAGAAATTTTTTTTTTTTTGTGTGGGAAAGCGAGAAATGAGGGACAAGGAACTCTAATGCATTACATGGTAATTACACAAATAGTTCCTAAAGTACAATACCTAAATTTCACTCATTAATTTAATATGATCTTTACCCTAATTGTAATCTAAAAACATACAAAAATATGTTTAGGTCAACCAGCCATACACATGATAGAAATTTATCTTATTTCCCGTCTAAATGAACGGCAAGATACGTGAAATACGTATCTTAACATTTCAGTCCATTATTAAAAGTCAAATTTGAATTTTTTTTTTTTTTTTTTCAAATCTATTGGAGCGTAATTACAAAATTCCATTATTGAAAGTCAAATACATAATGTTTTTGACTCTCTTTTTTTCTTAATCGATAGGAGAGTAATTATAAATATAAAAAATATTACATCAAACACAGTTCACTAGCTCAACAATAGCTAATTAAAGTCAAGGGCAAATTATCCACAAGTTCCCTTTGAAAGAGGTGCACTCTATTTAATCCCAAAACCTTTTGGGTAGACCCAAAGGTCCTGCGCACCATATTTCTTCTCTTTATCTCTCTTTTTGATATCCAGTGACCGGCAAACATGCCATTCTTCTTCTCTTTCTTTTTTGATATACAATCATCGGCGACCGGTGACCATCATTGATTAGGATTCACCGGGAACCACCAACCACTGACTCCTTACTTTGCCCTCACCGATGGCGAATAAGATAAGTTTCCAGTGAAGAAAATAAATATATCTACTCAAATTTGATGCAGATATACATCAGATCTGGCTAGATCTGAACAAAAAATAGTTGCTGGAGTACAATCCTCTCTACATATCTTAAGATACCGTCTTTTTGGTGAAGAGTTTGATAGGGCACACATACTCATCATCCGAAGAGGATGGGACACTAAGACGGTTGAGGAAACGGTTTAGCAAACAACCATAAGGAAGACCCAAAGATTTCTTACCCTCAAAGACAGATATCATTTTGGCGACAATCATTTCAGGCAAATTGATGGGAAGACAACGGTCAATGCAATACAAAACATATCCTTGATCTTCGGAAATGTTAGAACTGTGTGTGGTGACATGGATGTTGGCACAAACAATTATATTCAGAAAGCGGAATCGAGGGATAAGCTCATTTTGCCTAATAAGTGCCTTGGCGACCCACGTCCAGAGGGTGCTACATAGTTTAGTGGCAACCATGTCAAAATCTAATTGCAGACTTCAAGAATTGTAAGAAGGGACCGAGTGACCTCCTGATCAATGATAATTTCCTTAGACCTGACCCAAGTTTTGAAGGAAGGGGCTATGGTATCAATAGAGGTGATGTTGCAGTAGAATTCTCTGATCCAACTAAGATTCTGTTGGCTAGAGAATGAGAGAACAAGTTCACTGCCTAAATGATCAACCACATGCCGAATTGGGATGATTCAAAGGTGGAAGGTTGGACGTTCTGTTTGAGATGAATGGTTTGCCACACAAAGAAATCACGGTACATGATGGACTTTTCACAGGATGGGAAGAGATCAGTGTTCTAGGCAAGACGGGTACCAGTGGACTTGCGCCGTTTAGAGGATGAGGCCATGATAGGTAGAACTAAAAGACCGAGAAAACACTCAACCCATGGACCAACCCAAGACAGAACCCAACATAAACAATAAGAAATACCACAGATACACCCAGAACCCCACATAATAAACCAAGTAAACCATACACCCCTGAAAACAATAAAGCCAAAATCCCATTAGTAAGTGTTGGAGCCAGAAAAATATCCTAGCTATAAGGGAAAAATATCCTAAATAAATATTATCCATCCCTTATAAAATGAGGGGACCCCATACACAAGAGGTATGCCTCATTTTTCCCGGCCACAGAGCACACACACACACTAAATCTTCATCTTCTCTCTTTGATCTATTTTGGCTAACTTTATTATTAGAGTGTCTCCAGCCGGCAACCCTGGTTGGGTGGTGCCGATCATGCTCATCTTTGCAGATCTACAGAAGCCAAGCTCATCTCTTTGTTGGATCTTATCAACAATCCATGTGAGAGGATTTTCTAGGTTTCACAATTGACGCCGTCTGTGGAAAACGTTTGAGAGTTCAACGAAGAAGATGATAAATACATACTATTCTGCTTTTGCTCTCATCTACTGCAAGTTTATTTATATGTTAATGTGATTTACATCAGTAGAAGTAAAGCTTTGCTTTCCATGTTGAACACTCCATATGCTATGAATTTTAGAATCAGATACAGAGAAAGAAACTCAGGGGACCATGTCATTGTTTTCTCTCTCTAACCATTATCTCATTTTTTTAGTCTTTGCCTATAAATTTATTCATCAATTTCACCCTTGTGGCAACCCACTTCGGCAATTTGCTTGAGGTTGAGAAAGCAATGGAATAAAGAAAGTTACGTTATGAAGGGTAACAAAGGCATTCCGAACATACACAACTGATTGGTTAATATCACAAAATCAATTATCGATCACTCATTTTGGTAGGCTGAAAGACCAAAGCCAAAGAAGTTGTTGACTCGCCGACTAGTGGATCAAAGCCAGAAGTTTACCATTGTCAACCAAGCTCTCGTTAAAGACAAAAACTAAATGGACTAGCCGATCAAGTGTTCCGCCAACCAATGTGTTTCGATAAGCCAAAGAATTGCCGACCCACCTATCTCGGCTGCACAAAAAGTTTAACATGGTTCTCGGCTGCACAACATTGTCTATACCCACCAACTCATTGCTTTGAGTACAACATTGCTAGACAACAATTTCTCCACAATGACGAATCAGTCGACGCTCAACCCCAATGCATGTGCGATTCGGCAGCACCACAACTCATAGATGTGCAATTCAGCAGCACCATAACTTAGAAGATTGCTCGTCAAAGCTCCCAAGTTACACGGCAAATGTACAACCCCATGCTCCATTCTTTGGCAATGAAAACGGCCTCGATTATGTGCCGCCAAGAACATATTCAACAATGTGAACTACCAAGCCCTTTTGCCGAGAACATTCACCCACCAAGCACATTCTTCGCTCAACCACACTTTAGCCGAGGTTGAGAGCAAAAAAAAAAAAATGAAGCACCCAAACCGTCTTATTTTTGGTCAACTTTAGGAGGTCCAACGGCATTCAAGCAATGGAGAAATGAAGAGTCTAAATTATAGAATGAACACTAGGTCGCGAAATGAATCCAACGCCACCGAAAAGAGGCCAATCAAATTTAAAACGAGGAAAATACAAGGGCTCAAACTTGGGCGTTTGAATCTCAAACTTCTTTGTTTCACGTCTGCTGCATGAGAAAGATGACCTAAGGATTTACCGTGTGCTTCTCGATGCAAAGTGCCCCATTGCATCTTAGCATGTTCAGCTTGATCGAGTGGTCGGGTAACTTCGGGGATGCCTACCCTCGCATTTTTCACTATGTGGAATCTATTTTTTGAGGTCCACTTTTTGCAAATTTTAAGTCTCATAGTGGGATCAATAAATTGGCCAATCAAGAACATTCAGTGATCGATCAACAGTCAGATCGTGTCCGATCAGCATGCAATTTTGACAACAGGCTCTTGGAGCTAGGCCACAATCATCCATCTTCACCGATCATTCGCCCCAACTTGAATTTCCTTTACATTCGGCTTCACACCATTTGTCATCCTAATAAAAAATAAATAAATATATATATATATATAATACATAGCTACGTACATTTACAATTATTAATTCATCTATCTCTTCTGTAACAATCTCTGGATTCATTTAGACGTTCAACAATCTTGCTCATCGCTACTATTCGGCAATATTATTTCGCAACTTTATTCGACAACATTGCAAATTATTCGGCAATTATTTGGCAACAGTATTATTCTGAAACTTTATTCGGCAACGTTGCAACTTATTCGACACATTATTTGGCAAACTACAATATTATTCCGCAACTTTATTCAGCAACGTTGCAACTTATTCGGCACATTATTTGGCAACAATCAGTGTGTTTGGTTTGAGTTTTCTGGATTAAGTTTTTTGAAAACTAAGTTTTTTTATTTTCGTATTTTCTTGTTTTTAGTGAATATTTTTAAAATTTTAAACTTTTTTTTTTTACTTTTTTAGATGCACCTTACTTAGATGTATCTAAAAAGTAATAAATTTGTGAAAAAATATTTAAAAAATTAATAAATACATAAAAATACAAAAAATGTACTGAATTCTTGTTTTTTTTTTATATTTTTGGTATTTAGTGAATTTTTAAAAGTTTTTTTTTACAACTTTTTTACTTTTTAGATGTATTTATGTTAGATGTGTCTAAAAAGTTTTAAAAAAAAATTGCTTAAAAGATTAAAAAAATTCAGTAGAAAAAAAAACACGAAAAATAAGAAAGTAGAATTTTCTGAAAAGTGTTTTTTGAAAAATAAAAACAAGTAAGCTCAATATTATTCCGCAACTTTATTTGGCAACGTTGCAACTTATTCAGCATATTATTTGACA